TTCTTGTGAAAGAAATTTACTTTGGTCAAGGAAGGCAAATGCATCATGTGAGGTCCCTCCTTTTGGTTCAGGAATTTGCTCTTTCATATTTGATGTCACCTTACTTTATCATTGAAAACGGAATTAAAGACATGGACATTCCAAAAAAGGAGGAAACTCTTATTTTCCCTAGATGAGTCATTTTCCTCTGAATTCCACTTTTTTGTCACATTCCAAACCTCACAGACACTGGCATATGGAGAATTCTTCAGGCACTGCTTCTCTACAGAAGGTGTATTTTGGCTTTAAAGCTTTATTCTCAGTCTTGCAAAGGACCATAGCCCACAGCCCAGTTGATGCTTCCTTCTCCTGAGGCTGCTCTCTTTCCCTTCTCTTTATCAAGTAGAGAAATGCTAAGAAATTGGTACAGTATCAAAATACAAAACCTGTCTTATAATTGCTGAGGTAACTGGTACCAGAGCCTGAAACTGCTTGGCAGCTGTCTTCCCAAAGAGTTTCTTGAACCTGTTTCAAACTGTGATGCAGAAGACGGCTGAGAAAGACAGCCATCTCCCAAAAAGTTGTGTGTGCTCACTGAAGCTCCGTGAGGTCACAGCTCTTATTTACACATTTAAAAAAACATCATTTTGTTACAGGTGGACACTCATTTTCTTCCACAGGGAAGAGGAATTCTGTCAGCACTGTTCTTCCACTGACTTAGTGAGGCATTTTTCTGGACAGCGCATGGTTCTGACATCAGATCTATTGACAGTCCACCAGAGGGCACAGGGGCAGGAGGGGCACTGGACCACGTTGCCTGAGGAAAGGCTGAAGCACCCGGCATGTTCATTTTGGAAAAGATAAAGCACAGCAGAGTCCTTGTGTCTCGTCTTCAGGACTCCTCTCTTGCAGCAGCCAGTGGCAAGTTCCCCATAGAGACACAAGAGGAGATACAAGGACTCCCTGAAACAATCCCTGAGCCTCGGCCATATTGATCATCACCATTGCTCTACCCTGGCCTCCAATCGGGAGGCCTGGAGACACACCATCTATAACGCTGCTGCTGCTTTTGAGAACACACGCAGGATCACTCTCGAGGAGAAAAGACAACGCAGAAAGAATCGCATCTCATCGATATCACCTGGGGAGTCTTTCTGCTGTGCCTTCTGCAACCGGACTTGTCTATCTCGCATTGGCCTTTTTAGCCATCAGCGCTCTTGTAGCAAGCGTGGGTAGAGCCCTTCTCAAATCTTCGTTCGCGAAGCCCACCCATGGTGAAGGCACAGCGGGATCCAACTGCAGTCTGCAGTTAACTCATGGGGTTATAGAAGATGGGCTTCTTCTCAGCTGTGCACAGTGGAAGGACAACAAACAAAAGTCACAGCAAGGGAAATTCCAACTAGACCCTAAGGAGAGTGGCAGCTCCTGCCCATCACACTCTCTCACTGGAAATTTTCCAGTTGTCATAAAGGAGTGAAGCAAAGGTGTGAATTCCTTACAGCTCTGGGAATTGTCAGGAGTGGGGCAGGGAAATGGAATGGTGCAGATCAACTCACTGAGTGATTGAGCAGATATCTGGACTTGGAGGCAAGGTGCAAGTGTCCTGATCTGTAACCAGCTTTGTGATCCACGGCAACACTGCAGGCAGGGGAAGGAGAGTAGCAGCACTGCTTGGCATAGCAACAGCTTTGAATGACTCATGGTAGGATAGCAGATTCATGAGCAAACTCCTGACAGGGTCCTTCTCCTGTGATTTCCAGTAACTGCCTCTGCCAGTTGATTCTTCTGAGGCAAAGACAACCAACCTCAAAGCTCTCAGTACTGGCTACAATGAAAAAACATAATGTCACACTGTCAATGAGGAGCTGTTGGTTTTGATCCCAACCATCTAGTGAGGCTGACATGACTTTTCCATTTGTCCTGCAGTTGGTGTCTCAGGAAAAAAGTGATCCATGTCAGACTCTGTGAAACACATCTGACTGAGACTCTATTTGTCATGTTCACACTTAGAAAGTGGATATTGAAACACTGAAAGCATTTCAAATCGTTTGAATTTGAACCAGGAGCTCTGATGTTCACCTTCAAAGATCTAGTAGACTCCATTCATCTAATATCAGAAAAAAACAGCTCCATGGAAAAATAGGGTTTGGGAAATAAACTTGGTTTTATTTTATTCTTTATGGAGATGCTATGTTTAACAGCTGTAAAGATGTTGGCACATCTGTAATGTATTTGTGCTTAACTAGACACTGCTACTTTTGGTCTGTGTTTGGCCCAGCCACCTGCGAGAGTCTGTTCTTTTCCTGCCAAGTTGTGAGAAAACAGGCACTGAGAAATGAGAACTTCATCCTTAAAGGAAGCATCTTGTATAAACTAAATTTAATTGGTGACTATTGGCTGACAGCCCTCCAAGGGCATTTGAAGGAGAAAGTGAAGGGTGATGAAGTGAGCCCCCGGACTCATTTAGGGAAGACCCCCCAAGGCGTATCCCACAGGCGCGAGGAAATTCCAATGTCCACACCTTGGCTGTGCAGAAGGGGCACCACTGGCAGCCCAGGGGAGGGACCGAAGGGCTCTGGCTGGGTGGTGCTGCCACTGCTGCCCAGGGAGACGTCACCAACCAAAATATATAAAAAAGCAGATGGCTGGTGCTCGGGGACTCACACTTCACATGGAGGACAACGTTCCTTTGCGGGGACACCCGCTCTCTTGTGAGCCTGCTGACCCTCTGAGGATGCAGCCTCTGCTGTGGGGAATTCTGGTTATTCTGGGGTCGGTAAGACCCCTCATAAAACACACCTGCGTGAGGGGGGGTTTTACTGAGGGCTTATTTCCCTCCTCTTCTTTCCTGTCTCTGGGTTTCTCATTTTGTTGGCAAATTCTTTGTAATAAATATTGTTTTGTTGAGCTTTCAATGGTGTACTGGTTTAAGTTTCGGCATTCTCCCAGCTACAAATAGTACACAGCTTTTTAATTTTGCATGGCAGTTGCCTCCGTCAGGGCTGTACCAGAGTCCTGTACCCTGGGAGCCCTACCTGGGTTTCCTAGCCCTCACACTGCTGAAGGGAAGATGGACTGTCAGGTCAGAGACTTTCACTGCTGGGATCGAAGGCTCAGATTGGAGCCCCTCCACAGCGGGTGGCTCCAGTGACCAACCTGATTCCCCACACAGACCACACTCACACAGTCAGACCAGGTTTCCTCACCGGTCCCACCCCAGGTTTCCCCCAGCAGAGCCTCAGATGTCTCATTCCATACAGCAATTTATTCACGGTGCAGTAACACAGAAACAGCTCCGAGCTGATGCCTCAGAGGAGGGACCCTGAGCAAAGGATCCCTGGGCTTTTATACCCTCACAGTTTACCTGCACGCAGGTCTCACTTTTCCTCCTGAGTCTCCCGCTCTTGCTGTGTATCCCAGTGTCGATTCCCCTGGCTGGCACCACAGTTCTTCGTGCCCTTTGTTATGCAAAGGATCCACAGTTCATGGCCTCTTGTCTCGGGCTCTCACCCAGAGCTCAATCTGCAGCTGGCACTGCAGCCGCACACTGAGCGATCTGCACCGGATACATTCCTCAGCAGCACAACTCAGGTGTTTGCCTTTGGGCTACTCAGAGCCAAAGGGCAAGGCAGCAGTCTACCAGGAACTGGGGACAAAGCGTCCATGACTCACTGAATTGGTCGATTTTTAAATTTAAGCTGTTACCAGCTGTAATTGCAACTACTGCTTCCTCTCAGGTAAAACCGTCCAGGAGCAGGGCAGGATGTCCTCTGCACCCCCCTGCCAGTGCGACAGAAATTGCGTGAGCTGTCCTGTGAGTTTCACTCCAAAAGAGATGCTGAGACAGAGTACTCAGAGCCTGTGCAGCACGTCCATGCACAGTGTGGGATCACCGTGGCCGTCACTGGCTGGGTCTGGGGTCGCTGTAGGTAAAGCAATCCTCAATCACAGCATGGAAAGGAAAGGGCTCTAAGTAGGCTGAGTCGACATTTAGTTCTTTTGACAGCAATCCCTGCATGCAACAGCCAAGAATCTTGGATTTTGGGCTGCCATTCAGCTCTGTTGTTTTGGCAGATCCTCTGTAGAGGAAATGTCCTTCTGCCCCAGATGCTCATTAATGGGAAGGCTATTAAATAAATATTTGTATTCTTGATTAAAAGTGATAGATTTTTGTTTGTCCTTTGCCATCCTTCCCTTGCCTTACAGGCTATTATGAAATTGAGTGAAGAGAAGAACAAGAGAAAATAGCAAATACTGAAGAACTTTGATTTTATTTAGAAAAACACTTGTCCCTATCAACTCCTATTATGTCCCTAAAAATATGTTTTGCTAAGAGAAATTAAAATATTCAGAGCTGTGCGACAAAGGTGTCCATGGGAAGTGCATGTTCCCTCTCTCCAGTAAAGAGGTGCAGCATGCAGGATGGTGCCTAGCAATGCAACATGGGTGAAGAGTGGGAATGTCCTCTGTGGTGGTGGTGTCTTGGCTCATGTTATTTTCATGAATGTCAGAGACTGAAATAGCCCCTGGGTATGGAAACACAAGTTAAATCACGGGATAACTGGAAGGGATCCCTGGGGGTCTGCAGTCCAACCTCCTGCTCAAAGGTGGGCAGTCTGGAAGGTAAAGACCAAAGTCTCATCCAGCTGAGACCTGAAAATCTGTGAGGATGGAGGCTCCTAAAGAGCAAGATTCGTATGATAGCAGGGGGTGAAGAAGAGAAGTAAAGTGTTGCCTCCCTTTGGAAGCAGTTCCCATGATGGCAAACCACCAGTGATCCCAGTGGTCCCACTGACACATCCCAGAGAAAGGTGTTTCTCCCACAGCACAACCGGCAAGCAGCCAGCAAGATGTTCCAAAGGATTATATTGCATAGCAGAGGAGAGAGACAAAACAGATACAAAATCAAACCCAACTGAATGTTGATGTCTTTAATGCATGACTCAAAATGACACATTTCATTTTTTTCAGAGGCAAAAAATTCAAGTAGGAAAGGAGGAGAAGGATCAGCCTAGGAATGGAAGATCTGCTTCATGATTCACCTAGAAAAACTAGTCTTGGTGTTTCTAGTCAGGAGAAAGACAGAATGTATAAACATCATGAATAATTCATCAAAATTTGCAAATTTATAAGTAATCACAAATTAGAAACCATGTGGAGAAAATTATACTGGGGGGTAAAATCTCATAGTAATTTTCATTCTATGCAATTGGAAAAAATATATTTTTGGCCTTTTTTCCAAAACCTCTTACGAAATTTCTGAAAATTTGTGTTTCTAAATTTTTTACTGGTTCTTTTCTTGCTTTCTACCTTCTTTTTTTTTTTTTCATATACAAAATTTTGAGTGGATTCTTGTTGCTTTTGCTCCATCTTCTTCTTTTCCTTGTATTTGGCATTGTCTCACTTGGGGTTTTTTTTGTGGGAAAACTGATCAGTGAAAAAAATAAACTATTTGCACTGATTTAAATCCTGTCAAAAATTACACTGCAAAAATGAAATTAAAGAAGAGAGAAGATAAAAGCCATTTGATCAGATGTAATCTAGACTTAGAAAGAAGAAGAGGAAGGAAGAAATATCTGGAGGCTGCTGGACCCCACCTGCCACTCTGAGCAGATTCAGTTGTGCAGAGCCTGGTTCAGCTGAGCTATAAATGAAGGATCAGGAGTCCACAACTCCTCTGGGCTCCTGTTCCACTGGTTGACTGTCTTCAAAATAAATTTTTTTCCTAATACCTCATTGAAATTCCCAGTGTTGCAGCTTGTGTCCCGCACAAGCTCTTGTCCTTTGCTGTGCACCTCCAGGTAGCACCTCTGGTTCAGCCTTCCCTTCCATTAGATACCTGCAGGCAACCATGAGATCTTATTTTTCTTTTCTCCAGGCTGAACAGATTACCTCAACCATTTCCATGTCCTTTGTCCTCAAGTCCTCTGCCTGGTTAAGTAAAGGGATGCAGTTTTTTAGCATCTCTTTTTCTGCCAGTGCATTTAGAGAGTCCATCTCGTTCTTCCACACAGTCTGTGCTCATTCCCACTCCAGCTAGGAGTGCTCAAGTGTGCCAGCAGTGATTTTACAAGTCAGTGTTAAAGATATAGAGCCCCTGGTGGTCTAGTGGTAAAGGCGCGGCGCTGTCACCGCCGAGACCCAGGTTCGATTCCCGGGCAGGTGGGGCTCGTTAGCCCTTAAAGGCAACCCACCTACGTCCTAAGGACCTCACTGCCACCGTCCAAGTTCGCTTGGCCCCGGCAGATGAACCTTAGGATTAAAGGGTGGGCTCAGTTCCGCGCACACTGTGTCTCACCTAAAAAAAAAATCCAATGCGCAGGCTGGAAGGTGTAAAGACCTTCCCCGGATCTTCGCTCGCGAAGACTGGCCATTATTATTATGTTAAAGATATGCCCTGGGCCATGCTGTGAAGATGAGTGGGGGCTCCAGGGGTAAAAGACAAAAGCACTGGAGAAGGATGTTAAATCTAGGGAGATAAAATTATTTGGCTTTTCTTTTGGTGCCTACTTCCCTGTTTCCAGGCACAGCTTAACCAGATCTTAAGAGATTACCTAAATGGGAAACATGACTGAGTGACATAGCTCCTGAAAAAATTGGCACTGACTGTTGAGAGACTGCATGAGAAGGACCCTTTTAGAAACTAATTAGTTAGCAATGGCTCTACAGAATGTACAGTGGTAAAGCAGTAGCACTTCTGCTTCCCTGGCTCTGGTGAATCACTGACTGCTGATTCCTTTCAAAATCTTACCAAGGCCAACTAAGACACAGATGGCAAAAAGGCAGCCTGGAAAGCCCCTCCAGGTCTTCACTGCAGAAACTGTTTGCCCCAGAAGGAGATTAAAACTCATGAGAAGAGATTTGTGCATGGCACAATGGCCCATTTCATGTGGTCTCATTCGGTCCCAGCAATATTTCTCTACATAAACTTTAGACCCCTACATCTTGCCATTTTGAGCTCCTTTTCCAGCCACAAAAGGCATCATTCATCAGCTCTGGATCCTTTTCAGCATAGGCAGTAGATGTTGCTGATTGACTGCATTGCTGACAGGAGATCTTCCTGCACAGGTAACATCTTGCTCTCTATCCATGAAGTCAGACTGTCCCACACTGCCCAGGGCTGACCGGTGCACTTGGTCTCGGTGCCCCCATCAGAGAACAAGCTGCTTCTCCTGGGGCTTTTTGCAGCTCCTGGACACAAAGCCATGTGCATGGGCAAATACAGATCACTGGTAGCCCAGGCTTCCTTCCAGAACTACAGAGATGCCCAGACTTCTGCTGGAGCTGAGGAGGAAATGGTGCTTCCACATCACTAGATGTGGAATCCACCTCCATCTCATAGAGGAACATACAACACAAAAAAAGGTCATCAGTCCTTTGTCCTCTCCCAGTTCACGCTGCAAAACACAGCTGTGGGCTCTCTGTCCACATGCTTAGAAATGAGCCCATAATTAGAATATTGACATAAGGACAACAGGCTGCTTATTGAGTTTTTGTGTTATATTTGTATCATACCTCAGATAGCATGGCAGTCTGAGTAGCTTGCTACCATTCATGCATGCTATTGAGGGGCTTTTACTATTATTATCTCCCTTTTTATAACCATGGAGCTACTTTCACTTTAATATCATATTTAGATTCTGTGTTTTCAAAATAGGTGCTTCGGTATCTGGCATTGTCACTAAAGCAAGGTATTTTGGATGTTTCCCCTAGGTCTGATCCAAATTTTTCCTGAAAAGTGTAGCAAGCACCCCCATCCATACCGAGGCAGCTCACAATGGAGCTAATGCCTAAGAAACTTTGTAATTTACTTCTCTTAAATTCTAGCAGACAGATATATTAGATAAATGCTTTGTTCATGAAGTTCAACAGATAAAGATATTGTTCATTTTCATATTAAAATACCTCAGAAACCTCTAAGTATGGCAGAAAAGAAAGAGCCAAGCATTTTAATAGCATTTAAATGTCAAATAAAGAAGTAGATACTGTTTAATTTGCCTCTGGAATAGAACTGCTTGGCCCACAGCTCCTCAGACAAGGCCTGATGCCCTGTGATGGGCGCAGCCCTTGCAGAGCAGCACCCAGCAGAGTAAAGGACTGCTCCTTCCAGAGAATCCAAAGACCCTAGAGACAAAGTTGGCCCAAAGAAGTGGATCCAAACCCAGAGCACTCCATGTGCTTCCTGGTTCCCATCAGGAGATGAACTGCAACTTGGCAGGCAGAGCCGCCCTGTGTCTGGGCTCTGCTGAGGAAGGGCAGGATCAGAGATGGGGCAGGCACTAACACTGACCCTTGGAATGGGAATTTCTCCTCTCCACTCAAGCCACACACATGAAGGTGATCACTGCCTTGTATCACATTGGTTAAGGGTTAAGCACAAGGGGACTGTGACCCAGAACAAACTCTCCAGATGTCCCTCTCAGAGAATTGCAGTTGCTGAGCTGAAGGTGGCCCAGCAGTTCCCTGACCACTTACAGGTGAATATTGCCCAGGAGCAAGGTGAAACACACAAAGCAAAGCAGAGCAGGTGGACCATCACCAGGTAACTGTCCAAAGGATATTTTCTAATTATTCTACTTCCTTCTTGTATTTGCTGTGGCTGCCCCAACACTTGCATACAGAGTGGGCACCTCACCAACTGCAAAATCTGATGGATGGGCTGAAATGGCACTGCAGCTGCCTGGGGGCTCAGGTACTCACCCATCCCTCTCTCTCCATGGGAATACTGAGGCTGCAGTCGTGCATATTCAATGTCAGTGGGATATATGCTACATTCCTAGAAAATGTTCACTTTGAAAACTTTTTGGATCTTCTGTGCTGCAGGAAAGCTCCTTAGCACTTACCTGGCTGTCTGCAGACCCTTCAGCTCTCACAATGGAAGGATCTGGCTCTTTGAAGGACTTTCTCCCACAGTGAGTTTCCTTACAAGCTGCACAAAGTAAAGAAAATTAGGGCGATGCTTCATTTCGCTCTTGATTTCCACTTCTAGCTAAGAACGGGGCTAGGAACAGAAAGGAGCTCTGGCATGTTGCTAGTTACTGCCCTGTGCAGAGCGCTTCTCCTTGCTGACATTGTAATTCATGGTCCTTGCTGTGGGTGAAGTCACACCCTCTTTGCTTCCTTACCTTTCCTTGTTCAGCTTTCTTTTTAGCTTTCCTTGTGAAGCAGCATTCACATCACTTTCCTTGAGCCTCCACATTGCAGCCGTCTGAATGAGTCACCCTGGAAAGACAGTGAGAAGCAGAGTCTCCCAGAAAGTGACTGTTCTGCTCTAGGTCCTCCTTGGGTTTGGCTACCTGCACCTTCCAGTGAGTTCACTGCTAAAGGGAGCACTGGGCTGGACAAAATCACTGATTTCATCCACCACTTCCCCAGTGCAACTGGTGCATCCTCCAGCATGCCTCTGTCTCCAGCATCTCCCCTGCAGAAGCACAGGAAGATCAACAGCTGCCTTCCTTTGGAACTCTGCCTTTTACACCAGCACTTTAATGTACCCTCTGGGGACTGTGCAATGGAGGAGGGACATTCCCCCAGAGCCCTGGCCCACTGACCATGCTTTGTATCACAACAGGGAAGGATCAAGAGAGCATCAGCAGCACAGCTACGTGCGCGCATGCGTTGAGAAGAGCAGGAGCTCAGGATGGGTGTGGGGAGTCTGGTCATTTTAAAAAAAACTGCCCAAAGAATTTCCCTCCAGGGAATTGCCCCATATGTGGGCGGGGCTGGCATTGGGTCAGTGATTGTAGATTTCCAGTCCAGCAAAAAGGAATCTACACATCAAGGAAACCCCTGAGGGGGAGAGAAGTTACACCCCCCAACCAGCGAAGGAAATCTGAGCCCAAACACTTGGCAAGTGAGCTCATCACAGCTACAGGGACAGCACCAGCTTGGATTTGGCCTCCAGCCAGCCAGTAACATTAACATCTACTGAAGTGACATTACAAGGGTTTGGGGGCCTTTAGGATCTGCAGTCTGTGCACTCTTAATTGGCTGTTCTTCTACAGCTAAGCTGGGATTATTTGTTTTGCCAGGAGTCATTGACTCCAACTCATGATGAAATACAAATAATGGTCTGGACGCCTGTTCCACCCTGTTATGTCCCTAGAGGAAAATTGCTTGCCCAGTTAATTCCTTTTTATAGTGTCTCCCCCGTGGGCAAGGGGCAAAGAGGTAGTAGAGTTTCTGGAAATACAGGAAAGCCACAGATTTTCTGGGCAAAAACAATTTCTGCTTCCCAGCAAATGATGACATATTTGATGACATTCAAAATGATGAATATTGATGGGCATAAGTTTAATGGGTTAGTGGATACTGGTGCTGATGTATATATCATCGAAGACACTGAATGGCCTTTGGATTGGCCTACGGTCTTCCCAGCATTGATATCATGGGAGTAGGTGGCACACAAAGGTCTAAGCAAAGGGCACACCTATGCACTATAGTTGGGCCAGAAGGGCAAACAGCTTAGATTGCTCCCTTTGTGGCCCCAATTCCTTGTACTTTGTGGGGACGAGTTGTTTTGGGACAGTTTGGCACCACCGTGCAAATAACATCAGGAAAAAATCAGGTTTTTCTGCAGGGGCCATTGAGATGCCATTCCAGAGACCCATTAAATTGAGGTGGAAGACAGACACACCTATCTGGCTCAAACAATGGCCCCTGAAGAAGGAACAGCTTTTGCAACTACAGAATTTGGTCCAAGAACAACTTGAAGTGGGACATATAGTGCCAACATCTACTCCCTGAAATACTCCTGTGTTTTGTATTCCAAAGAAAAGTGGTAAATGGCACATGTTACAAGATCTAAGAGTGGTTAATGGAGTGATTGAACCGATGGAAATCTTACAACCAGGACTCCCTTCACCTGCAATGCTGCCTGCAGGATGGCCCCTACTTGAGACCGATTTAAAGGACTGTTTCTTTACCATCTTTTTTCATCCTGAAGATGCTCCCCATTTTGCTTTTTCTATTCCCAGCATAAATCACGCAGAGCCAGTGCAGAGGTATCACTGGGTAGTTTTACTGCAGGGAATGAGAAACAGTGTGATGAAATGTCAAACAGTAGTGGCCAAAATTATTCAACCAGTACAAAAGCTCTTTCTCTGCGTCACTATTTACCACTATATGGATGATATTCTGATAGCTGCTGCTCAAGAGACAGATTTACAAGCCGTGTTACATTCACTAAACAGTGTCATCCAAGAAGCAGGATTGCAGATAGCCCCAGAGAGATACAACAAATGGAACCATGCACTTACCTCGGTTGGTGAATTGCCCAATAAGAAGTTACTCTTCAACCTTTAACCATCAAGGTAACAGACACAATATCTTTAAATGACCCACAGCGATTACTGGGAGCCATGAACTGGCTCCGATCTATACTGGGAATAACCAATGAAGAGTTACATCCTTTGTTTGAATTGCTAAAGGGTGATCCTGCTTTGTCCTCAAAACAGACCTTGACAAAGGAGGCAAAGCAGGCTTTGCAATTGTGCTCGCAGGCCATCAAGAGCAGACAGAGCAGGAAACGACATCTAGACCTGCCTATTTATCTAACCCTTAGAGCAAGTAGGTTTCAGCTTTTCACAGTCCTATTTCAGTGGGATCAGTCAGAATCTGACCCCCTGGGGGTTTTAGAATGCCTGTTTTTATCTCATTCTCCACCTAGGACAGTATGGACAATTAATGATATGTTTGCAAGACTTATCATTAAAGGTAGAGAACGGCTACAGACCGTGGACAGACAGGACCCAGAAGTAATCTACATCCCAGCAACCAGAGACAATCTGGACTGGCTTCTCACTGAGGACCCAGGATTTCAAACAGCGTTGCAGACTACAAGGGTGACCTGTCTGTTCACTTCCCCAAACATGGCCTGTGGGCTGAGATAGGTGACCTGCCTTTGACAGCTACACTGCTTTGATAGCTGCTGCCAGACCCAGCCGGTACCAGGTGTGAGCGCCTTCACAGATGCTGCTGGATGATCAAAGCAGGCAGTAGTAACATGGGTTAATCCTATCACAAATGAGTGGGACAGTAAGGCACAGGCCATGAGCCAGGGGTCTATACAGGTACTGGAGTTGGCTGCTATTCATATGACCTTTGAGCTATTCCATGACAGTTACTGATTCCTCCTACACTGCAGGGTTGGTTTCATGTCTGGAAGCTTCTTTCCCCCGGGAGGTGTCTCGCCCTTTTCTGTTTGTAGATCTGAGCACACTGGGGTATTTGATCAATCACAGATGGTTTTGGTTTATATTTTACATATTCATTCCCATACAGAGCTTCCTGGGCCTCTCACAGGGAAATCAACAAGTGGATGCTGCTGCCATGACCATTGTTATTCTCAAAACTTCAGAACAAGCCAAGATATCTCATTCCTCTTTTTCATCAGAATGCTCGCTTATTAAAGCGACAGTTCTGATTAATGATGAACCAAGCTCAAGAAGTTATCATGTCTTGTCCTGATTGTCAGCAGTACATTCCTATGCCATCAAAAGAAGGGGTCAATCCCTGAAGTTTAACAGCAAATGAAATGTGGCAAACAGATATCACACGTATTTCTGAATTTGGTAGGTTGAAATATGTTCATGTTACTGTTGACACTCACTCCAGGTATATTTACACTACAGTACATACTGGAGAAAGGGCAAGAGATGTAATACAACATTGACTGGCTTGTTTTGCAGTTCTGGGAGCACCAAAGTTAATAAAAACAGACAATGGTTCTGTGTACTGCTCAGTAAGGATTAAAACCTTCCTTACTGATTGGGGAATATCACTTACCACAGGTATTCCTCAATCACCCACTGGACAGGCAATTGTTTAAAGAGCCAGATGTGTGTGGATGTGTGTTGTGTGTAAGAACATGAATTTTTAAATTTATTTATTTTAAGATACAATTATATATTTTTTTTTTAAGTTTTAATATGTTCAATTCTAATTATATATAACCTACAGATTTAAAGCAATTTACAAATCTTAGTTTCCTCAGATCTAATAATATAAATCTTGGTTTTCTTAAATGTAATATCGTGACCCTTAGTCTTTTATAAGGATGGACATTTTTAGTGAAGATTTTAAGAACAAGTTCTCAGTTCAATAAGCACTTATAATAAGGCTGTTTTAAAGTGTAAGTGCTGAGTTGTATTGTTTGTATGGTTTTAATTTTGTTTTAATGAATAAAAGAGGGAGATGTGTGGAGTTATAAACACATTAATATGGGATATCTATTGTGTAATGGTCACGGGGTACACTGGGAGCTGAAGCCCTGATGGAAGCCCATGAGAGGATGACCAATTATGGGTGCCCCGGGAAGAAGCTTTGAAGTGATTGGACAGGACGTTTTGTGACCGTGTCTTTTTTGAATATATAGGAACTTGTTCAGTTTTAATAAAGCAGTCTGTCCATTTTCACCATCCCAGGAGGGTCGTGTTTTTATTCACTGCCACAAGATGCCTCCTTATTATACAACTCCTTTGGGTGTAGTACCAGCCCAAACCTTCTTTCGCTGTCAAATGCAGTGGGAAAGCCTGCTGGTTTTCTGTTATCATCCCCAGGTCTGTTGGTTGTGTTGTTTCTTAGGTGTTTACGTATCACTGGGGTCTTGATTTGACTTTGCATTTGGGTAGAGGCTGGGAGAACTTTGCAGTGAGGAAAGGAAAAAGTGAGGAAGGAAAGGAATTCCTACCATAGGGAATTAGTACCAGAGTGAACTGTGCGGTTCCCTGCGCCGTCTGGTTTTAATGACTTTGTCCTATGTATTGATCAGTGATGACCATTTAAATGCAATTTAAAGTCCATCAATAGCCACGGGGTTTCCAAAGGCCACGTCTCGACTGCGCTGGTGCTGTTGTGTGATGACAGATGAGAGGAACAGCTCTGGGTTTGGAAGGGAGATCGCACGGCACCAACGGGAAGCAAACCAGCATTGGCTCAAGTCAAGATCTGGTAACGGATGGAGCTTTGACACTCAGTCTGTTTGTCCCAGAGAGCAAAAATCCCACCAGGCAAGCATGGGATTTTCACCTCTTTGTGAAACACAAAACACATGGAAATGAGCAGCTGGTGGGCATGGAACTCCTTGTTTTATCCTGAGAGCTGTCATGACTTGTGGAGAATCTGTGCTGCTGCAATTCAGGGGAATTTTTGCAACATACAATTTACTAAATATTCCTTAAAACCCATTTATTTTCCTCCTGTAGTTATGCAGCTTTCTTACTACTGTTAAATGGAAAGATGGAGATAACTGCATCTGTTATTTAAATATATATTGACCTTAAACTTCTAATTATGCAATGACCAATTTACAGAAATGTATTTTAATCACTTTTCAGTATGCCAGGTCACTTTTAAAAGGCAGTTCTAATTGCATTTTTGTGTCAGTGGTTGGGGTACAAGCCAACATTTTGTCAAATATGTTAAACTTCACGAGAAGGGAGTTGCATATATCTTTAACTGAGGATGCTGTGTGAGGAAGGGCCTGTTGGAGAGGGCTCTGGCACAGAGCAATGAGGGATGGCAATGCTTTGGAGAAGGACTACTGGAGGGAAAAATTACAAAACAACATTCATCACAGCTTTGTATTCTTCCAAATGCACCCCCTTGGGACTTTGGCTCAAACCTGAATGACCATTCATTATCCTCTTCTTTGTTATTTGTTTATGAAGTTCAGAATTACAGAGTAATACAGGTATTAAGGGATTTCTGGTTGCCACCTGCTCCAGCCAGCCTCCTTAAAGCAGAACCATTTGAAAGTGGGTTAATTTTGAAACTAACTTAAGTTGTTGTGGGCCTTTCATGTTTAATATCTTCAGGAATGGAGCCTCCACAACCCTACTGGGCTCCTCTTCCCTTGCTTGATCCCCCACTTCAGAGTGGAAAGATTTGGTATTTAGAAACCTGGAGATAATAATTCGTCTCCCTCTAAAAGCCTAAGCATACAAGTTCCAGGCTATTGCCTGCTTCACAGAACTGAAAAGTCAGCAAGGCACATAAAGTAGTTAATGAGATCAAAGCCTCCTGCTCCTGAAAATTTCAGTCAAACAAACAGCCTTTCTCAAATTTTGGAGTTTCTTTGGCACAAACCAGATGGCACTCATCCCCATTATCAGTTTTCTTGGGCAGAACATGTTAGCCTGCATTTGTTGTGTTCTCTAAAGATGCCTGGTGCAGTCTTGAATCCATGTGCTCTGACTCACTCACTGGAAGAGGCTGGGGGAGTTCTTAGAGCCAGCTGATTTACAAGCTGCTTCACTTCTTTAATTGATCTTATTTGCCTATGAGCACGTTTGTGTATGGAAGATATAACATCTTTGATATGAGATCCAGCTCTAGCACAGCAGAGAACATCCCACATGACCAGACAAAGTCAGGTTTTGGTGTGTTACCCTCAGCCAGTCACTCTGTCACGATGTTTTGCAGGCTCTGGGATGTGTAGGTCTATCCACATGCAAGGAGAGTCCACATTGGCTCCCATGGGATATGGTTTCATGGCAGCAGAGCAGTGAGCTGGCAGTTGAAGCAGGCTTGGCACCAGCTTTTCCTGCAGCTGATGGTGCCAATCCATCTCCTGGGATAGTATCTCCTTTCTGGGGGAGCCACATCCATGCCACATCCACATTGTCCCACCTACAGTATTTGTCTGCATAAGATCCAGAGCACTGCCCGTTCCACCAGCTAGCTTAGACAGGTGGGCAATATCTGCAAAAGTTGTCTGAGAGGATGAGGAGACTGTTGGCAGTGTGTCATAGGGTCATGTGGCATCTTCTCTGGTCTCTCTGTCCATCCCTGACTGCTGCCCGCTGTCTGTTCCCAGCTTGGTGCTGGGATCACTTGTGTGATGGCTGGTTCCACACTGGGACAGCCCAGCCTTTCTCCTCAGCACTTCATGTAGAGCTGCTTTTGGGAGCTGCATCCTTTCATTGACCTGCTTTCCTTCAGCACCACAGCTTACTTTTGCAGGCTCAGGCAGCTTAGATGAGACACCCCAGTACCTGTAATTCTGCACCCAGCTCTGGGGCCCCCAACACAAGAAAGACATGGACCTGATGGAACAAGTCCAGAGGAGGCCACTAAGATGCTCCAAGAGCCGGAGAACCTCTGCTATGGAGATAGAATCAAAGAATCTTAAAGTCATATAATCACAGAAAGGTTTGTTTTGGAAGGAACCTTAAAGATCATATAGTTCCAACCCCTTGTCATGGGCAGGAACACCTTTCCCTAGGCCAGGTTGCTCAGAGTTCCATTCAACCAGGCCCCTTGATAGGTTATCAACAACTTCTCTGGGCAATCTGTGCCAGGGCCTCACCATTCTCACAGCAAAGAATTTCCTCTAATATCTAATCTCAAGCTACTCTCTTTTACTTTGAATCCATTCCCACTTGCCCTGTCACTACATGCTCTTGTAAAAAGTCCTTCTCAGTCTTTCTTGTAGGCTCCCTTCAGGTACTGCAATGCCACAATCACTGCAAGCCTTCTCCTTCCCAGACTGCACAATCCAAATTCTCTCAGCCTTTCTTTGTGGGACAGATACTCCAACCCTCAAATCAACTTAGTGCCTCCTCTGGGCTTGCTCCAACAGGTCAGTGCCCTTCCTGTGCTGTTCCCCAGGGCTGGGGCAGCTCTGCAGGGGGGTCTCACCTGAGGGGGCAGAGGGGCAGAATTACCCCCTACCCTGTTCCCCACACTGTGGGATCAGCCCAGGGCACGGGGGGTTCTGGGCGCCAGCGCACACAGCTGGGGCATGTCCAGCCTCTCATCCACCCGCACCCCCAAGTCCTTCTCCCCAGGGCTGCTCTCGACCTGTTCATCACCTGCCTGGATTGATACTGGGAGCTGCTGACCCAGGTGCAGCACCTTGTGCCTGGCCTTATTAAACCTCATGAGATTCCCATGGCCCACTTCTCAAGCTTTTCCAGGTCCCTCTGGATGTCCCCACCCTTCAGGTGTGTCACCTGCACCCTCAGCTTGGTGTCTTCTACCAATTTGCTGAAGGTGCACTCAATCCCTTCATCGATGCCATTAATGAAGATATTAAACAATACATGTCCCAGTACAGACCCTTGAGGGGCATTGCTTGTCACTGGTGCCCATCAGGACTCTGAGACATTAACCACTACCCTCTGGATATGACCATCCAACCACTTCCTTAATCCATCTAAAAGTCTACTCATCAACTCTGCCTCTCCCCATTTTAGAGACAGGCTGAGAGAGCTGGCATTGTTCAGCCTGGAGAAGAGAAAGAACCAGAGAGACCATAGAGCCCCTTCAAGTGCCTAAAGGGGCTCCAAGAGAGCTGGAGAGGGACTTTGGACAAGGGCCTGGAGTGACAGGACAAGGGGGATGACTTCACACTGAGAGAGAACAAGATTAGACTGGCTATTGGGAAGAATTCTTCCCTGGGATGGTGGTGGGGCACTGGCAAGGTTGCCCAGAAGAAACTGTGGTTGCTCCTCACAGTGTTCAAAACCAGATTGGACAGTACTTGAAGCAACCTGGTCTAGTGCAAGATGTCTCTGCCCACGGTGGTGGGTTGGAACAAGATGATTTGTGAGGTCCTTTTCAACACCATTCTGTGGTTCACCATTCAAACCATTCTGTGATTCCGTGATATTCATCACAAACGGCACCGTGGGTGTCTTCATGTGTGGACAGAAGATGAGAGCGCAAGATCAACTGCAGAGGAACCTTAAAGCTGACCACCACGGTCTGCAGATGTGAGGCTTCTTCCATTTGCTCAAAGAAGGTCTCATTTACTTCACCTTGATCACAATGTTTACAACAGACAGGCACTGCTACTGCACTCTCGTTGCTCTGGCCATTAAACTTGACCCTTATGCTCTCAACTGGCTCCTGACTCACCCCCAGGCAGAGCTCCGTGCATTCCCACTGCTCTCTCACATAAAGGGCAACCCTGTCCTCGCCCTTCTGGCCTATCCTTCCTAGGGAGCTTCAGCCCATCCATTGCAGCACTGCAGTCGTGTGAACCATCCCACCACGTCTCCAGGATCCCAAGAGCTCATGTCCTTGTAGCTGCACACACTCTGATTCTGCCTCTTTGGTCCCTCTGCTGTGTAGAGGCCTTTCAAAGAGGCACCCAGATATGCTGATTCTCCAGTACAGGCTTCAGAGTTTCATTTATAAACCTTGATGGGATTTTCCAGGTATTCATCGTTTATAGAACTAGTGTGTTTTGTTGACATTGATCCTGGGTCTGACTGAACCAACAGTCCATTTCCCTTGGAAAGCTCCAGTTCAGTTATGTGTAGGCTGGGTTTCTTTGTTTTCTTTGGGACAAGTCTAAGCCTTGTCCCGAGTTCACACCCAGCAAATCAACTCAGCTATTTGGGAACTCTGTGAACTACATGTGCTTGGGAGTGATGATGCAAGTGTTTTAAAAAAGCAGTGTGTTAAAGACAAGGAGAACAGGAAGATAAACAAGGTGCTCTGTAATGAGCAGCTGCCCATTTTCCAAAATATAGCTTAGCACTTGCAGCTTTTTGTTGTTGATCTTTCGATTCTGAAATTGTTTGGAGAAATAGTTGCTCCCCACATCTGCTCCCCACACTTATCATGGGTGACAAGCTATGGTCTTGCCTGTACCAGGTATCAAGAGCTTCTCACTGCTCTGACTCTGTAGTACAGAATTCCCCAAAGTCCTTCTGGATGCTCCAAAGGTGCACTCTTTAGTTGGAATTCGCCAACACAGGAGACCACATTCAGTCTTTCCTTCCTCAAGAATTATTCTCAGATAAAACCTGCTCTTCTTAAGGTGGGAGAATTGCATCCCAACACAAATTAAATGAAGTTGATCACCTGACTTAGCAGTTTCAAAAGTCTGATTTGTCATTTTTTATTATTAGAGATTTTTAAGACTTTCTTACCTTATTTTAAGAGATGTGACTCCAAATACAACAAAGTTCAGGTAACTGTGTTTAAGCTCTTCTGAGTAGTCTCATGTGACACTGGTGGTGGACTGTGAGGATCTCTGAAAGGTTTTACAAAACCAACAAAAATTGTGGGGCAAAAATGGTCTAGAGAAGAGCACAGCTGCCTTCCAAGGAAAGGCTAAAAAGGTTAGGGGAACACTGAGGAAGGCAGTGTGATCAAGGTTCACAAAATCCTGAAGGCAGGGGACGTGCTGAAAGCTGAGCTGCTCACCCAGTCCCACCATACCACGACAGAAAGCCCTCAGGAACTCACCAGAGATGGATGTAAGACAACCATGGAATTCTGGATGCAGCAGATGAGCTGCATGAGCTGGATGAGCTATTCTGGGCTGCTGTGGGGGCTGCTGATTGCAGCAGGTCCAGAGAGGGACCGCACAAAATCATGGGAAACAGGTCCCTGACTGGCTGCTGGAGGAGGAGGAGGGGACAACCCTTTTGCAGTCCTGCATCTTGAGGGCTGAGGGGGGGGGATGGAGGTGGCCAGGCTCACACATGTCCTGCTGGTGGCATCTGCCACTGCAGACAGCATGCTGGGCTGGGAGAGATGACCAGTGGGTTTTTTCCAATGTACTTACATTTGGAGCCTTCCCAGGGGTTTCTTTCATTCATTTTCCACCTCTCCACAAAGGGAACGACCTTCTTCTTGGTAGAGACTGCCCTTCCCTCTCAGCCTCAGTCACAGGCTTGTGACTGCTGGACCCTGCAGGTCAGAAACACCTTCACTGAGCAGTGGAGGTGCCATTCCAGGAATATTGTAGTTGGCAGCAATGCCAGTGCAACACTGCTTCTGCTTGGTTGCTCCACAAATCCATATTAAAAATAACCATAATCGATAGCCAAAATCCATATTAAAAAGAAATCCCTCAGCATTGCACAACTGGACTACACCAGCATTACAGAAAAGGTCATGTGGGTGAATGGCTGAGAAGGAAAAGCCACTTAAAAATTGACCAATTAAGTACTTATGAAATTAGGCTTTAAAAAATACTATTTATTAAATATGCTTATAATTTAAATTATAATTAGGGTAATTAAATTTTATATTTTACATAATATCTCATAAATTACATTTAATATGCAGATGAATCCTCAGGTCAGAAGAAGACAAACTGGGAAAGTTTTTGGTGCAAAAAATTTTATAAAGGAAAATATTCAACATCTGCTTAGAAAAACCAGCTTCATGTAAAAAATGACCTAGTGTCCAATGCAAGTAATTAAAGAGCTAAATAACCCCAGAATATAAAGCTGAACATTTCAAAGAATCACAGAATATGCTGACTTGGAAGGTACCCACAAGGATCATTGAGTCCAACTCCTGGGTCTGCACAGGACCATTCCCAAGAGTCACACCATGTGCCTGAAAGTATCCAAATGCTTCTTGACCTCTGGCAGCCTTGGGGCTGTGCCCACTGCCCTGGGGAGCCTGTTCAGTGCACAACCACCCTCTGGGGGAAGAACCTTTCCCTGAGCTCCAACCTGAGCCTGCCCTGACACAGCTCCAGCCATTCCCTGGGGGCTGTCCCTGCTCCCCCAGAGCAGAGCTCAGTCCTGCCCCTCCTCTGCCCCTGCCCAGGCAGTTGGAACTGCACTGAGGTCTCCCCTCAGTCTCCTCTGCTCCAGCTGAACACACCAAGTGCCCTCAGTGTCCTCACACACCTTCAAATCCAGGCCCTTCCCCATCTCTCTGCCCTCCTTTGGACACTCTCCAATGGCTCAATCTCTCCCTTCCATTGTGTCCCCCCAAAGTGCCCCAATGTTGAGGTGAGGCTGCCCCAGGGCAGAGCAGAGCGGGACAATCCCCTCCCTGCTGCCCCCAGGACAGGGATGTCCCTCCTGGCTGCCAGGGCACTGTTGACTCAGGGACAACTGGCACCCATCAGCACCCCCAGGGCCCTTTCCCAGCTCTGCTCTCCGGACTCTCATTCCCCAGTCTTTATGGTTTACTCAAAAGTTTAAAATCTTCTTAAAATTTCTACTTGACTTTCATCTGGTTTGAATTTTCAGTCAGATGCTTGGATTGACCACACAGTCAAAAATGTTCCTTTGTGTGATGAGATCTGGGTGATGGTGACTCACAGGGGGTGATGCAGGGTTAGATGTAGATGCATTTTGGGGAATGATTGTGTTGGCTCCTCTGTCTTGTGTAATGCAGTCACTGTGGGAACTAGACATTAACATGTGTCTAGGATGTCTGGAGAAGGGATGACTCTGTAGAGCAGCCTAAATTTGTCACAGTGGGTATGTGAGCACATCCAGAAAAAGCAGTTGACACACACAACACATTTAGGTTGTCTATACATGGAGTGGGTGAACTTTCCTATCTGTGCACGCAAATATAGACGCAAATGCTGCATCACAGGGCTCGCCTCTGCTAGAAACCTGCTCTGAAAGACTCAGCTGACATGCAGGAGTGAAGCAGCAAGACTTTCACTGGCAAAAGCATCACTTGGAGACCTTTGGTTACCTTTTTTCTTATGCCCACAGGGTGAATGGAGCTGTACCCCCCTGAGCGCTTCAGCTTTTCTCACACAGCCCAACCCTGCTCTAGAGGGGCTCGGTAACCACGCTCTGGGGGGTGAGAGATGAGGACAAGAGGGCAAAGGGGCCAGGTAGAACTGACAAATTTTGCAGCAGGCAAATGCGAATAGTTGTGTGTGGTGCCCTCTTTAACCTGTGGATTAAGAGCAATATACCTCAATGTACAGAGTTGTAGGGAGAGGACCACTTTGGAGGAACAGAAACTCAGTGGCAGCGGAACCCTCCTGAGATTTCTAGATGCAGCTGTGTGCAGCCCATGGGGGAAAATTGCATGTTCCTCCTTAGAGACCCTCTCCCTTTCAAGGTTCAGCCTAAAGGAAGATGGTTTGGTCTGGTGAGGCTGGAGCAACAATGCTGTAAATAGATTCCTGCACTTTTCTCTGAAACATCTGCTTCTGCAAAGGGGGCAATGAAGATAATCCAGTTTTAGCCCCATGAAAAACTAAAATGTTTCATTTGGGACCAACAGAAAATTCTGTCTGATCTGAAATACAGTATTTTCCTCCTGCAGGAGTGATGGAGTGAGAAGGATATATGGGGGGCAGGCATATTTGCCCGTATCTGTTGACACAGTTTACCTTCCATTTACACTGATTTTAATTAAAATTTTAAATTAAAAATTTGAACACAAAAATGGGGGGGGAAGCCATAATATTGAAAATGTCAAGAAGAAATGCTTCTATTTCAAAATGTCAGAAAAAAAACCCCACTTGTCTTGATGGGATTCTGTTCTAACAAACCATTTATCCTGTTTCAGCAGCTGTAAGAATTTGCTGCTTAATTTTCCATTTCACGTGTCCAGTCCAAGCCCTGATGGAAGGGAAACAGGGTAGTTCAAAAAACTTGAACTACTATGCTGGGAAAGACCCTGTTATGCACATCCTGCCACTGCCCAGAACAGGGTACCTTGGAGCACCTGTACCAAGAGAATGGGAGAGCACAAGATTTGTTCTGTGCCATCCATGAAGGCCAAGAAATTTTGGTGTCAGAGGCACAAGAGGCTGGTATCTGTGGTCACAGGAGACCAACACAAGGAATGTTTCATGAACAAACCTTGGTTTGCAAGGACGATGCTCAGGGAGCCAGGACAAGTTGCATCTGCAGGGTCACCAGAGTGGGGAAGGGTGTCACCCCTGCGAGGCTGCAGGAGCAATCCCCAGACTCCAGATCATCTCTAGGTCTCTTAGATGACAATCCTTCTACTATAGCCAAGAAATAGCCTCTATTTCCCAGTCCTGTCATGCAATCCAACCAACACTGCTCCCCCCTAGGACCCTTTAAGAGTAAAGAGTTATTGTGCTGACTCCTTTTTCCATGTATCTTAGCCAAAGCTGCTGCCCTTTCTTTGTGTTTCCTCATTTTGGATTTCTTGTAGCAGCCATCTGTCTCCCAGTCAGCATAACAGGAAGAGGAAAAGTGGATTTGGTGTGTGGACCCTTGTTGTCATCCTGCTGCTGTAGGAGTGTGTGTGCTCTGCTGAACTCATCTGCATCTTGTTTTGATACAAGTGACACTTTTCCAAGTGCTACCAATTTGATCACTTGGTTCTTGCCCTGTGTTTCTCCTGGTGCTTTCACACACAGACATTCCCACTCTATTTCTATCACAAGTCTCTGAACCAGGAGGTATTTCACAGCTACCAACACCCAGCTGCCCCATTGCCTTACTAGTCCATTTTTTCACTTCACCAAATGGTAAAGGCCTCTCAGCCAGGCTGGAAAGGGCTGTGATGCACTGCTGGTGTGTCAGCATTTATCATGTCTAATAGGTGACTGTAATAGTGATGACTGGTGACTTTCAAGCACTTGATCCTGGAACTGCCATTTGTACATTCCATCAAGTTTTGCCTCCCTTTAAATGAAAAGCAGTATGTCCAGTGTACCCTTGTCACCTCTGTTTACAGTTGCCTCTTTCAAAGTTTCAATTTGTGTAAAACATAAAAAAAAGGAATCACGGTAATCCCACTCTGATTTTCATTCTCTTCAATGACAATGTAGGCAACATATGAAGAGAACTTTCATATCTGAGTTAAACCCACTGTGAAGATAAAAACATCACCCTCATGAGCTCGAATTTTCAGCTTTCCTTAGCGGGAACCTGGGGACTTACCTTGACGTTGAACTGTTTTGGGGACAACAGAGTTGGTGTCAGTGATTTCCTCAGCAAAGAAAATAACAGAAGTCATTGGTGCTGGAAAAGCAGTAATGACAAGGCTTTATGTCCCTTTAGTTTTGTTGGTTTAATTGGTTGCAATACATATTGCCTGGCAGTTGGTGGGCAATGAAAGAAAGCTGTGGAAGGGCAGACGGAGCTGGCAGCTTTCACTCAGCCTATGGCACCTGACCATGGAGCAGAGATAGAGGCACTGGTAGGGCATCTTCTCAGTGTGCTGTGCATATCTGTTGATGGACTGTTGGCATTTACATTACAGATGCTTAGGGCACCTATATATTGAAGTCTACTTGCATGCAGTGATGGCTGGAGACAGCACGATTAACATGCTGCACCATCTGCCTTCACGGGGGCCCAAAAGGCTGCAGGGAAAAGAGCAAAGCCTGGCAGGTTTCAGCAGTCCTGCAGAGCTGCCAGTTGCTAAAACTTCTAGGGCAACTCTGTAAGAGTAGACAAGTGTTTTCATGGCAGAATAAGGTAAAACAACTGAAGAAGGCACAAGCAGAAAAGGATCATATGAAGTGAAGATCTGGCTGGAGAGAATACCTGCAGTTCTGGAGACTGTGGAATCCTGGAGTGCTTTACCCTGAACAGCTCAGGGAGCTGTTATCAGCTAATTCTGGTGGGTTTTCCTTGGGCCTGGCTGCAGACTGACCTGCCATCCAAACCTGGGTGACACTCTTTTGAGACTATTCAGGGAATGACATCTAAGCTGTCACAAAGGCCGGAATTGTTGCTCCCTCCCCATGCAAAGCACCACTCACCTGACACACAGGGCTCTATGAAAGCCAGCTGATGTCCTGTTCAGCCACTTAGTGCCTTCATCAGCAAATTCTCATATTCCCTCCTGGTACCAGAGACACATTCCTACTCTTGACATGCAAATCTTCCTATTCATGTCTTCATTAAGTCAACGTATTGTACTTGATGCTCAGAAAATAGGATGGTTGGAGGACTAATGGTGTCCAAGGTGGTCCTGTTCTTTTCTTTTCTGGGAACTTTATAACCATACTCAGAGAAGTTCTCAAGTGGCTTCCAGAGGTGATATCATGGATTTCCTAGGGAAAGATTTATCATCCAGAACATTTTAATAATAACAGTCACAAATTGCTATTTAGTCTGAAGATTGTAGGGTCAAAAAACACTTATTTTGGCTTAGATGTGTGAAAGGCTTTCCTCTGTCATTTGAGTGAGTGGCCACATAGATGAATTAGCCTGTCGAGAGGTCCCAACTGGAAAAAGTCCCAAGCAAAACATTACAATTGGTCCCTTCCTGCTACTTCCATCCTGTGATTGCATGATCTATTAAACAGTCCTTTACAGTTTGTAGAATAAACTGACAGACATTTTTGTTAGAATTTCAGATGCAATCCCAAATTTTCAGCAGCCAAGTGCTCATTATAGCCAGCTCAATGAGTGCTTTGGGTGAGTATTTGCATCAGTAAAGCAGAAACACTGAAAACTCACAAGGAGAAAATAGAAAATGGCACAAAATGCAGAACACAAGTGCTCAACTGAGAATGTGCTGTTTTCATCTAAAGTAGCACTCAGAACCTGTCTTACTCAGCATTTTCCACCCAAATGAACCAGTGCCACCCAGTCAGCATTTCTGGAGCTCCTCCTGCTCATTCTTGAAGCACTGTTCGAGGCACCCTCTCACTTGGACTAAAGGTGTGATGTTTCAAACAGGCCACCTAAACTTCGTGCCACCACCAAAGATGCTGCCTCTCTCTTTACATCGACACAGGTATCAGTCATCTTCTGCCATGGGACAGGGAAAGAGGACAGCCTTTCAGTGTCTGCCAGTTCAGCTGCCCACCCTGACTTCCCAGCGCTTGGAGAGCACAGTGCTGGGCGGCTGCTGCAGTTTAGGAATGGTGTTCTCCAACTCCATACTCTGGCTAAAATCACTGCTTCCTTCCCTCCCACCCCCACCCCTCCAGCTGGAGGCACAAAAGGCAAAGATGACAGGTTGAGATAGGAACAATTCATTAGAAACAGCAATGAGATAAGAAAATGAACAGTAACAGCAACAAAAGATTCACACAGAAACCCTGCAACAATTAAACAATATCGGACAGACACACTCCCCCCCTTCTGCCATCCTGCCACATTTTCTTGACCGACAGGAAACCCCTCTCCCCTGAAGAAGAGGGGAGACCCATCCCCGGGCCCCAGTAACGACCTGAGGTGGTAGAAAATAACTTCTGGGCCCTGGCCATGCCCCCTCCCAGCTACTGCAAAAATGAACCCTATCCTGGCTGGAACACACTGCCAGAGCACATTCCAGCATGGAGTGACAGGAGGTGAAAACTGGGTGTGGATGCAGCAGCGGCAATTCTGAAGATCCACAATAGTGAGAAATTGTTTACTCACATGTAGTTTCTGGGGGCACTTTTATGAAAAAAGGAGCTTTGTGCTCAGCTCCAGCTCAAAATCAGATTATGGAATTGCGAGTAGAAGATCACAGAACAAAAAGTAAGTGGTTCCACAGGTGTCACCACCTCTTGTGTGCGCACACCTATGCTCGGTGGAGTTCTGGCACTGCTATTCCAAGTGAGTACAAGGTCTCTGAAAGGAAGGACAAAAGATTAGCAAGGGAATAGTTTTGCAGTGAAAGAAGAATAAACAGACCAGGAGCCACCAGGCTGGAAGGATGAATAGAAAACCACAGATGCAGAGGAGATGGTAGGGAAACAATTACTTACCTTCTCACATTCCAAAGACTAGAAATCTTCCCCTAAAGTTATTCTGTAATGGGCTTAAAACCAAAACCAGGGACATTTGGTCAATTTAATTATAAAACTTTCTGCCCTGGAAAAAAAAATGTTACGTTTCAAAGGGAAAAAATCCATTAGATGAAAATAAATTCTGTAGCTGAATTTGTTCCCTTGTTCAGGGTATTCTCAAAGCATGGACTTCCAGAAGCTTGGAAAGGATATATGGGATGAGATTACCCTCTCTGTACTGTGTTTCCTATATTGTTCACTCAAATAAATGATGACTGCCTTTGTCAAAGAGCTTATTAGCTGATGGTCCTCAATGCTGTTTTCATCTTCTCACATGCAGCCTATTTCTGATTTAGGCCTCTCTGGGCACTAAAATAACACCTGACTGCTTCCTGGACTGGAAGAAGGGTTGTGTGGAAGGCAAATACCTGGCACCCAGTTTGTGTGCCCTTGTGCATCCCAGCCAGCAGGCAGGCAGCTTCCTCCCTTAGGAGACAATGGAGACACTAACTCTCCCCCTGGCAAGGAAATACTCCTGATGTGTTCAAGAAAGTAACCCAGGTAGACAAAAAAGGAGGGGTTGGGAAGACTCCTTTGCTGGTGAAGGAGTCAGAGAAAGATCCCAGTGCAGAGTCAGGTGCTTACACTCAGGGTGCTGCACAAACCTGTGAGCCAACAAATCCAGGCAAATCACGCCCTGTGGACAGCCAAAGGACACTCCCAACAGGGAAAGATAAAAATGAGCAGAACTTGGATGGTTCTTACTCTGTGGGCCTCATGTCCATTTGCCCAGCCTGGATCACAAGTCATGGTCATATTTAAATGTGATTCCAGTCGACAGTGTTCTTAGAAAATCCTGTACAAGGAGGCTGTCTGGGTAGCAGGGTGAGAACCCTCCTGTCTGAAGAGTCTCTTCAGTGGAAGCAGCTCCACACTAACCATGGGTCCACAACCATGCTTGGGTTTGCCTTTGACACTGGTCCACAAGCTGAGACAACAGGACATTTGCTGACTTTGCTGCCAAGTGAAATTAAATTGTCACTATTTTTTTTTCCAGTCAAGAAGTCTGTGAATCGCAGAGCCCTTGAACTGAGTCAGCTCTTGGGGCTCAGTCTCTCAAGGTGGGTTTCTTGAGAAATGCAGGATTGATTTTCCATGTCCTGTTGTGCAGTATAAGGGGAAGAGCAAGGTATTGATTGAAGGCTGGGAAATGCTAGAAAGGTGATTATAGCAAGTCAGTCTTGGTAAGTCACTTAGAGAAGCTCTAAAGGCAAACTAACTACCAGCTGGTCATCATGCATTATCTTCTTCCAGTCTGGCACAGAACAAGTACTTATATGGTACAAAATGAATGGGCAGCATCACACAGTGCATTAGGAGCAGACACTGGAGGGTTTTATTTCATCTGACAGCATCACTAACACAGGTTCTCACCTCTGTTTATGGAGCCAAGGTTTTGGGCTGAAACACTGGGCACTTCCCTCCTTAAAATCCATCCAGCTGGCATCATCATCATCATCATCATGGCTAGGCTTCGCGAACGAAGATTTGAGAAGGGCTCTACCCACGCTTGCTACAAGCGCGCTGATGGCTAAAAAGGCCAATGCGAGATAGACAAGTCCGGTTGCAGAAGGCACAGCAGAAAGACTCCCCAGGTGATATCGACGAGACGCGATTCTTTCTGCGTTGTCTTTTCTCCTCGAGAGTGATCCTGCGTGTGTTCTCAAAAGCAGCAGCAGCGTTATAGATGGTGTGTCTCCAGGCCTCCCGATTGGAGGCCAGGGTAGACCAATGGTGATGATCAATATGGCCAAGGCTGAGGGATTGTTTCAGGCAGTCCTTGTACCTCCTCTTCGGGGCTCCTCTCTTGCGGTAGCCAGTGGTAAGTTCCCTGTAGAGCACAATCTTAGGGAGGCGGTAGTCCTGCATCCTGGAGACGTGCCCTGCCCAGCGCAGTTGTGTTCTCAGCAGCATGGCCTCAATGCTCGTGACTGCTGCCTGTTCAAGGACAGACGTGTTGGTCACATAGTCAGTCCAGTGGATGTTTAGAATTGTACGGAGGCAGCGCTGATGGAAGCGTTCTAAGAGACGCAAGTGGTGCCGATAAATGACCCATGATTCGGACCCATATAGAAGAGTAGACAGTACAACAGCTCTGTAAACGCTGATCTTTGTACTTTTCTTCAGGTGTTTGTTTTGCCACACTCTTTTATGGAGTTTACCGAAAGCTCTGTATGCCTTTGCTAACCTGTTGTCTATTTCTGCATCAATCTTACCATCTGAGGAGATGATGCTACCCAGGTAACTAAACTGCTGGACTGATTTGAGTTCTGTTTCACCAATGGTGATATGGGGATGATGGGAGACTTCCTGAGGTGCAGGCTGATATAAAACTTCTGTCTTCTTCAAGCTGACTTCCAGTCCAAACAGCTCAGCAGCCTCTGCAAAGCAGGATGTCAGACGCTGCAGAGCTACTTCTGTGTGGGCAACGAGGGCAGCATCATCAGCGTAAAGCAGCTCACGGACAAGATAATTTAAGGTCTTAGTGTGGGCCTTCAGTCGCCTTAGGTTGAACAGGCTCCCATCCGTACGATATCGAATGTAGAAACCGTTTTCATCATCGAGGTCTGCCGTGGCCCTTTGGAGCATCTTGCTGAAGAAGATTGTGAATAAGGTTGGTGCAAGAACGCAGCCTTGCTTCACACCATTGGCTATTGGAAACGGCTCAGAAAGTGCGTCACCATGTCTCACTTGGCCGCGCTGGTCCTCATGAAGCGAGATGATCATTTTGAGGAACTTGGGAGGACATCCTAAACGTTCCAAAATCTGCCACAGACCTTTTCTGCTCACAGTGTCGAAAGCCTTGGTGAGATCAACAAAGGTAACATAGAGTCCTTTGTTCTGTTCCCTGCACTTCTCTTGCAGTTGTCTGAGAACAAATACCATGTCTGTGGTACCTCTGTTGGCTCGGAAACCACACTGGCTTTCAGGTAGAAGATCTTCTGCTATGGCGGGTATTAATCTGTTCAACAGAATTCTTGCAAGGATTTTACCAGCAATGGAGAGCAGAGTAATACCTCGGTAATTTGAGCAGTCTGATTTATCTCCTTTCCTCTTGTACAAGGTGACGATGACAGCGTCACGAAGGTCTGAAGGTAGTTCACCTCGTTCCCAGCAGCGCACCACAAATTCATGAAACTTAGCACAGAGTGCTTGGCCACCGTACTTCCAGATTTCAGGTGGGATTCCGTCAACCCCAGCTGCCTTGCCAATTTTCACCTGCTGTATTGCTTTAAGAGTTTCTCCCATGGTGGGGGCAGTATCCAGTTCAGTTTTCACGGGTTGTTGTGAAATGAACTGCAATGCTGAGTCTTGAACTACACGGTTAGTACTGAAGAGAGTCTGAAAGTGTTCAGACCATCGATTCAAGATGGAAACTTTATCTGTGAGAAGCATTTGGCCATCTGCACTGAGTAATGGGCTTTGAACCTGGTGTGTAGGACCGTAGGCTGTTTTCAGAGCCTCATAGAATCCCCTGTAGTCACCTGTATCTGCGCATAATTGGATTTTTTCCGCTAGATTGGTCCACCACTTGTTCTGGATGTCACGAAGTTTCTGTTGCAGCTTGCTGCATGCGAGTCGAAAGGCTGCTTTTCTTATATGACAAGATGGCTGAGCAAGGTGGGCTTGGTGAGCAGTTCTCTTCTTCCTCAACAATTCCTGGATCTCATGATTGTTTTCATCAAACCAGTCCTTGTTTTTCTTGAAGGAGAACCCTAAGGATTCTTCAGAGGACTGCAGAATGCTACTTTTAATAAGTTGCCAAAGTGCTTCGGGAGAGGAGTCTGTGGAATGAACTTCGAGCCTGGATTGAAGATTTGCCTGGAATCTGTCCCTCACTGTAGCTGATTGAAGACTGTTAACTTGAAGTCTCCTTCTAGGAATGCTGCCCTTTTTAGGTTTGAATTTAAGGTGGAGGTTAAGTTTACAGCGCACGAGGCGATGATCCGTTTGACATTCTGCACTAGGCATCACGCGGGTGTGACGAACATCGCGGATATCTCTCTGTCGGACCAGGATATAATCAATGAGGTGCCAGTGCTTGGACCTGGGAT